TAGACATGCCGTTCATACCAGGTCCAAATGAAAGAACAACAGCATGTGATGTGTACAGTTTATTAGGCCGTAAACAGACTGCATTCCATGTTTATATGAAGTGCAGTCTGAGTATCACATGCACAGCGTTTCTGTGTTTAGCAATGCATAGTGTTCACAATAGAAAAGCACATGCACTTTTTGACATGGAGAGATCAAAATCATGCAGCAGCAAGATAATGATTAACCTCATGTTGTGGACAGATAACAGATAACATCACATTTTCTCTTGGTTGAAGTTAAAGATTATGAGCTATAGCCCTGCTCCTTCCCTCTGCTAATGCATTTGTATTAGGCTCTAGTCACACGGGGCTGGAGACCCGTTGACAACCACCTTTTGCAACTGAAAAACTTGTTTTTCCCAAATGATTGCTGCTGGCACAAAAACTTGTTACAGAGAAATTTACAGTGCTGCACCAAAGCCCTGCAACTGCTTTGCTCTTTAAGAGATTGCCTTGGTCTCCAGCAGTTTGTTTGGAAGATGCAGTGAAATGTGTGGCACAAACCATGAGCAGAGATCGTTTGCCTTGAAAAATCTGCATCTTTTGAAATGTGCTGGTTTCAGTAGTGAGGCTGTTATAATGTAGTTCAAGTTCCACAACAGCAGAGAGAGTAAACTGTGAATAAATGCTGACCAATCTGCATCTTCCATAAAAGCTATTGGCGACAAAGGTAATCTGTCAGCACCCAAAGCAATCGCAAGCAAAGTTTGGGTGTCAGCACCTTCTTTGTGACATTTCTCAGGTTTTCTCAGGTTTTCAGGCCTGTGTGAATGAAGTGTTAGAATCACCATAGCTGTGTAGCTTCCCACCATCATTAGCCAACTAGCCCAACTTCACTAAAATAAATGTTTCTTTACATCCAAAGTAACAGCAGAGCTGAAAAGATTCAGTTTTACGAATATTTCAGTCAGAAAATCGCCTCATTCATTCTTTTTCTCATGCTTACTTTGATGTTAAACTTTTACTGTAAGACCTGGAAGAAGTAGGATTTGGACCCGGGCGTCAGACTGAACAGCAGATAAGGTTCATTATTCTGTATAAAATGTGTGCATACCAGCATTGTCCAGCAGCTCCTGCAGGCCCTGAGAAAACAGCAGATTTCTCAGTCGCTCCACTTCAGCCTTCAGCTCTCGGATCAGTTTGGCGTTTGGATCTTCATTGATCACAGCGTTACAGCGAATCTGTTTGGCACGGTCAGCATACCTGGAACCGAACCGGAGAGAATTAAGATTATATTAATCTGACTAAATCATCTGCTGCCTAAAAACACATTAACTGATCCATAAAAAGCCTCTTAGACAGATGACACCCAGTAACTGACCTCAGAGTGCTCAGTGTTTCTTCGTAGTTGATGTCAGCAGGACTTAGCGCAGCAATCATTGCTGTGCGAGAGTTTCCTCCTGAAAGAAGCACACATCAAACCTTTAAGGTACTTAAACTAAGTCTGATATTAACTCTGCAACTCCATACATGTCTGTGTGGTTAAGATGTACTATAAGTCCTGATACAACAAGTCTTATTAATAGTTTGGTCAAAGAAACATGCCGTTGGTCCTAGTGTTGACAATATTACTAATGGCTGTTAGCCTTAAACGACTCTTTCTACTGTTCTCCGTTAGCACTGGACCTACCAATGCTCTACTTACCCAGGTTTTCCTTCAGTAGCCAGGTGAGAACAGAGTCTCTGTAGGGAATAAAATCACTTTTCCTCTTTTTACTGCTCTGCTGCAGATCAGAGACAAGAAGCAGTCAGCAATCATCTCCCACATTGCACACATCTGATATTATTTGACTTGTAAATATGGACAGTGTTGAATTACCATTTCAGCCAAAGCTGAAATCACTTTTCCTAATGTGGTCAGAGATTTGTTGATGTTTGCTCCTTCCTGCATGCAAA